TCTGCTTACATCTATCTTCTGTATGATTCTCTAAATATCTTAAGACTAGAAGCAAGTTTGTCATTATCTTTGTATTTCCACTGCCTGGCGTTGCCTGGTCAAAACTAGGCACTCCAATGCATTTATATGAATACAAATGAACACTGTTTCTATAGAAAAATATTTTTTCAGCATGTCAACTGAGATATGAAGCACAATTCACTCCCTAGCCATTGACCCTCACCCCTCACTGTAAGCAGAATCCCTGGCAGTATTAATTTTCCTACTAGCTGAGCATCCAGAATTTTCACTGGAAAAAATTAAGCTATAGCTTTCTGTTTAGAGGATTAGTTTCCCATGACAATGAGAAGAGAATAAACTGAAACTACTCCCAACAAGGGGGAAACAACAAAGACGTGGTTCTAGTGTCTATACACCCTACCCTCTGGACAAGAGCACTTAAACCACATACCGAAAGATGTTAGCAGGATTTTCAGAATAGGTAATTTCTTTCTCTCTGCTACATAAGACCTGAGTGAATCGGAGACCCCTGGCTCATAGGCACAGGGTGAAGACTCTGGGGGGTCAAGTCACATAAACCAATGGAGAGTGTACACACTTGGAGACAAAGTTGTGATGCCTAATGAAGTCATCAAATTATGATGATTACTGTGAAAAGAGTGAGGTCTCAAACAGACCTGAAGGACACTTGAGAAACATTTCAAACTGAAGGACTGTGAACAAATAGGATCAATAAAGCCACAAACAAAAATAAAGTAACAGGACAGAATGGGATGACCTATATCTAACGCGTATTAAATATCAACACTGAGACAGACACGGTAGGGCACTCTCCTATACATTAGATTCTTTAATACTCAGGACAAACCTTGAGGTAAGGATTAGCCCCACTCTTAGAGATGAAACACTAACCTTAACAAGAGGCCCATGTTTCAAACAGGGCCAGCCCTCAAAGCCCAAGCTCTTTTCCATGCAACAGTCCTACCAGAGTCTTGCTTATTTCTATTTAGACTTATGGGAGTTTTAAGACTAAATATGCCTAATTTAACCAGAAGAAAGTAAGAAAGTTGCCAAAGTCTACGTCTCAACAGGCACAGGCCTCGCTGGTTTCCCAGGAGAATTCTACCAAACTTTCCAAGAACAGAGAGCCACATGCAATTTAAATTGTTCCAGCGTATGGAGAAAAAAGCTGCAAATTATTTTTTACAAAGCCAGCAGAACACTGACACCAAAACATGACGAAGATAACATCCTCCAAATAAAGATCAGATATAAATCAATTATTATTCATTAATATTTTGCTAATATATTTATTCAGAAATTCTGTAAATACAATCTAGCAATGAGTTACAAGAAGACTATCCCATCTAAGCCCAGAAATGCAAGGGTGGATACACAGTATACAAGTACTATTAATTTAACAAGTCAAAGGAGAAAAAAAGAGAATGACTATCTCCATAGATATTGAATATACAGGTAACAAAATTCAACAGCGATTCCTGACTTTTTAAGCTCTTAATGAAACAAGATTTAAAAGAATATGTATTTCAAGCCAAACAACAGCAATCTCAAGCCAAAAGACAGCATCATATTTAAAGTAGAAATATTCTCATTAAAGTAAAAAACAGGACAAAAATGCCTACCATTTTTAAAAACATTTTCTGGAATGAACTACCAATTCACTTGGGCAAAAAAAGTTTAAATATGAAAAGTAAGTAGCAAAACTATTTGCAGATCAAGGAAACACGAGAGAATCAATACAGAAGCTACTGGAGACAATAAAACAATTTAGAAATGTAAATGATTACAAAATTAGTATATACTCAAAAAATCAATTCCTTGGGTATATACACCTACCAATCATTCTAAAATATGATGAAAGAGCCGTCTGCAACAACATGGATGAACTGGAGGACATTAAGCTTAGTGAAATGAGGCAGACACAGGAAGACAAACACTGCATGATCTCACTCATAGGTGGAATCTAAACAAGTCAAACTCGTAGAACCAGACTGTAGAATGGTGACTGCCTGGGGCTGAAGGGTGGGGAAAACAGGGAGACATTGGTCAAAGGACACAAACTTCCAGTGACGAGTAAGTTCTGGGGATCTAATGTACAGTATGATGACTACAGTTAATAATACTATGCTGTACACCCGAAGTTTACTAAAAGAAGAGATCTGACTTAAGTGTTATATCACACACAAAAAAGAGTAACTATGTGAGGTGGATGCATTCATTAGATTGTAGTAATAACTTCACAATGTATACGTACATTAATCATCACGCTGTGCACCTTAAATACACATAATTTTTGTCAATTTCCCAAAAGCTGGGAAGAAGTTTGAAAGTTAAAAAAATGATAGAAGAAAATTTTCTATTTAACAATATCCCACCCACAAACACACCATTAGAATAAATCCAAAAAAACTGTGTAGGACCTTTATGAAGAAAATTTTGTTACTAAAGATAAAGAATTGAATAAAATGAAAGGCACATCCTATTCTTAGCTAGGAAGACTTAATATTCCCTAAATTAATATATAAATTAACTAAGTGCTACAGTTGATCCCTTAAATAAAATAAGCCAACAAAAATCTGCAAAGGAACTGCTAGAAGGGGCCTGGTGCTCTGACATGAAAATGTATGCTAAGTTACAGTAATGACAACAGTTTGGTATTGGCACACACCGAAGGATGAATCTTAATAAAACCAAACCCATTCGGGACTTCAGTCTATGATAAAGGTAGCATTTCAAAGCACTGGGGAAAAGATGATTATTCCATAAACGGGGTTAAGATCCCAGGCTAGCTATCTGGAAAACTGTTTTTCACAAGCACTTCCACCTCTAGAAATGGATCACACAGATAACCTTAGACCTAACTTCCTTCAGGTTTGTTTTTTAAGATTTTATGTATTTATTTGACAGAGAGCTTGTGCTCTCTCTCGTTCGCTCTGTCTCAAATAATAAAATCTTTAAAAAATAAATAAATAAAAAATAAAAATAAAATTACAGCACCCAAACCCAACCCCCAATTCCCGATGCCCCTTTCTTGCTTTTATAGTTCATTTTCTCTGTAACATTTATCACCAACAGCATGCCATTCGTTTCCTGTCTTCCTCACTAGAAATAAGCTCCATGAGGGCAAGACTATCTGCGTGTTTTCCACTTGCTATATCTCCAGCATCTAGGCACTCAGTAAATACTTTTTTAAATGAATGAAGATAATCCGTGGCATAAGAGTACCAATTCCCTTCCACATTCATTGCAAGCCCAGCCCAACAGTGTAAATATGCTCAGGGCGGAGGGCTCCTCCACACCCAGAGAGTGCATCATGACTGTCCCAGACCCCTCACCAGTTGCTGGCTGGGCAGGAACATGTGCCCCTATCCTTGACAATGGGCCCTAAAGTGATGGGGAGACTTCTGGGGAAGGTTTCCCTCACTAAAAAAAAAAAAAAAAAAAAAAAAATGATGTTTGGGGAAGAATGGTCCTCTCTTTTCAAGATTTTTTTTCCGGGGGTGGGGAGGTTAGGGGGGCGCAGAGGGAATGGGAAAGAGAGAATCTTAAGCAGGCTCCACACACAGCGCAGAGCCCGACGTGGGGCTCCAACCTTGAGATCATGAGCTGAGTGGAAATCAAGAGTCAGATGCTTAACTGACTGAGCCACCCTTCTGACCCTCTCTCTTTTCAAGATTTTGTCATGCCTACACATGACGTTTGGCACTACATTATCCATTTTGTAATTCTAAGAGGAATGCCAATACACTGAAGATGGAGAAAAGAAAGCAAGCTCTGAACTTCAACAGAACAGCTGTATAACAGAATTAACCCAACCATAGAATCGCTATCCTAAAATAAACTCTTAATTTTTAAAAGCAACTTTTAGTTATTCCTTGTTTCTTTTTTAAGATTTATTTGTGTGTGTGTGTGTGTGAGAGAGAGAGCGAGCGAGCATTGGGGAGGGGGCGTGCACGGGGGTAGAGAGAGAGGGAGAGAGTCTTAGGCAGACTCCACACTGGTAGGAGCCCAACATGAGCCGAAACCAAGTGTTGGCCGGCCACCCAGCACCCAGCTCCTTCTGTTTCTTAAAGCAGAAAGCAACCTAAAACATACTTACATATATGCAAAGACCTGCCTAAGAGTGTTCATTTCACTGTTATTTATAAAGCAAACTGCTGGTACCTAAAAGTACATAAACAGGGGCTTCATCAAGTAAAGTTATACATCCAGTGGGGTGCTGGTAAATGTTTACCAACCACCTTGGAGAGGAGAGAGGCAATACTGTAGTGTTTGCCAATTTCCAAGATTTAAGTGCTCCCACCACTGACCATACAATGGTCAGTTTCAAGAACAGTCGTGTTCAATGACCAGTTCACTAACTTCAGGACAATATAATAATCAGCTCTCATGAGCCAGTAAAACCAGCTCCAGCATACCACTGCTTATATCCAGATGATGATGTAGGTACATATGTGCTGATAGGGAACAATTTTCTAGATATACTTAAGTGGAAAAAGGCAACCAAAGGATTTACAATGGGATTTAATTATATAATCATTTTTTTCACGTGCACACAGAATTATATTTGCATAGACTATCTTAAGAAGAATATTCAAGAGACCTGAACAAGACTGTGGAACTGGAATGGATGAGAAAATTTTCAGGTATAACCTCCTGCTAGCTGCTTGAACTCTTTTTACCATGAACTGCATTTTTTATAAAAATTAGTTTTAAAAAAATTAAACATTTAATGACCCCTAACCAAAACTGGGTCAGTAAACCAAATAAACTGAAATTGAAATTAGAAAGAACACATTTTACATTTTTTTCCAACTTAACCTAAGTAACAAAATTGCTGTGGTTTGATTTAAAGACAAATCCAAGAATTATAAAAAGATCATTTCATCTACAATTGCTTTCTGTTAAAAACTAGACTGAGCCAAGTAGGCCAAGCACACTCCTATATTCTTAAAACAGCCCAGTATTCATGAACTCACACGGCAAGGTCACTATGCAGTTCACAGTCCTCACACCGTGTCACATGGAAATCATCAGGATCTAATGAGTAACCTAGAGAAAGGAAGCAATAATAGAGTGCCGTGGAGCAATCTGCAAAATGTATAGGTCACTAAAGGTCACCCACAGCAACAAAGCTTCTTGTCTCAGGTTTGCTATGTGTCACGTGTCAGACTCCTTGGACTCAATTCTGCGCTATGTGCCCACAATCAAGGAGCTTGTTTTCAGGCCTTGTCCAGTTGGATTTCCTCTCAATTTTTAGTGTGAGCAACACAAGGAAATAAAATTCATGGTTAAATTGATGTTTCTTCCCCTGCTCTTCCACCTCCTGCTATGCCAGGAAATAGCACTCAAATTCTATCATGTGGTTGCCCAACAGGACACAGGAAACTGGGACCTTACAACCTGATGACTAGTGATTGCAATACAGAGATGGAGCGGAGACTTAATTACACAGTGAACAGCACTGAAAAAAGGTCAGGTTGCTGAATTATCAAGGACATTTACTAGGGTTTTCACTGTCGTACGCATGTGTGCACGCGCGCGCGCGCGCGCACACACACACACACACACACACACACACACACACACTTAAAGCAATGTTTTCTTTACCATGACAAGCGATTCTACACCAGGAATGTAAAAATGGAGAAGTCAGATGGGGGAAGGACTATCAGGTCTACCTGCACTCTTTCCCACTCTCCTATGTCTAAAGAATTCGCCATTTCCCCCATCATCAACATGAATCTAAAATCATTTGGTCAATGTTAAAGCAAGCATTTAATATGAAGGGACTATGACCTGAGGGGGAAAAAATAAGGAGAAAAAGAAATGAAGGAGCAAGTGAGTGGCAATGATTTACATTGGATTTCCATGGTGATAAGCAAACATGAGCATTATTCCCTAAGACAGATTTTCACAGATATTTGATAACTACAACGCTTGCAAAATAGTAATGGATTTCTTAAAAATGTCTGCAAGCTCTTGGAGCTTTTGAATCCAAGGCTGAACTAGGCAGTAAAATGGGAAAACTAAAGATTTTAAAATATTAACATGTATTACTTACATAATAAATAGTTTTTATATTACTGCACATTAACTTATGAAAATGCAAAGGAGACGCTTAAAGTTGAAACTTTCAACATGACCTGAAATGCAAACCATGTTAGCTAAAACCATGAGTTAAGGTGACTACAACCAGGTCACAGTAAATATGAAGTCCTATGAAATCAAACTATTTCTTTTAATATATTCTTCATTCAGTATTGTTGAAGAGCAAGACTATGCAATCACAAAACCAAATGTCACACAAAGAAATGATACATGCTGGAACACAAATGGTCTTCAGAAAGGGTAAAAAAGATAACAGCATTTATCATTTTGACAGTCTGGAACAAGAGATGTAAAGTACAAAGCAGCTATGACATTCAGCAATATATACAGGTAAATTAAAATGCATCACTTTGTTCTTGACTCAGCTTATAAGCTAATAAACAAATGGTTTAGGCTCGATTTCGGAGCAGAAAATATGGACATATTTCAGGTTTTCAATTTCAAGCAGGCAGACCCAGCTGAGTATTCACTATTACCAGTGCAAAGGGAGTACCAGAATTCTACAAAATCCGCATTAAGATGAGCATTAACCAAGGTGATATTTTACATGAGTTAACCATATTCCTTTAAATTCTAGGCTATTCTAGGAAAACAGACTCACAAACACCAATAAATCTCTATGCTGGGTAAGAGGTGACCAGACCACACTTACCGTTTTCCACATAGGGATGAAAGGGTAAAACCAAGGCGAGGATCACCCTGCCTCTAGTTGGCTCCAAGACACTTCTGATATCTTTTAACAAAGTCAGGGGCTGATCACAGCGGTCCAGCAAATTCAAGCAGCTGATGACATCATACTGGAACCCTGTATTCTGCCATTCGTTTATACCAAGCACTCTGAAAACATCAGAAAGAACCTGATTGATACAAACCCGCTTAAAGACATCTTTAAGAATAACTGACATGCCAGTACCAGGCTCTAACTTTATCTTCTAAATCCAAGTAAATGCAAGATCATTCACTTGTCATTTATATTTGCAGTAATAAAATGGCCAGGCAAAGAAAAACAGCAACCCTATTCCTTTAAATTTAGCATTTCACCTATTTCCAAATCTAAAAACATATACTTCCTTTATAAGAACTAATCATGTTTAATACCATATGAAGATATAAAGTGATAAAAATGGTTATAACTAGGCCACCAGATTCCTTTTTTTTTTTTTACCTAAAAACATTTCATTCATTTAAAACTACCTCTTTTGAACTTTAAGCAAAATACAAGAAGTCACCTTTTCTTTTAGTAACTCCACTAGTTGCTGAGATCCAGGGAACTGTGAGTTAGTAGTTCTAAGCTTAGAAATCAAGGTTAGTAGGGTCGCCTGGGTGGCTCAGTCAGTCGAGCATCAAACTCTTGGTTTTGGCTCAGGTCGTGATCTCATGAGTCATGATCACATGAGTCGTGATCTGATGGGTCACAGGATCGAGCTCTGCATCGGGCTCTGTGCTCAGCCACAGGGTAGGGGGATCTGCTTAAAGGATTCTCTCCCTCTGCCTCTCCCCCCCCACTGCCCCCCCTCTCTTTCTTAAAATGGATAAACAAATCTTTTGAAATAGGCCATCAAATTCTTCAACATCAAATGAACAAAAAACCCTACTTTCTACATCCATTGGAATTTAATCATAAAATACATCAGATATTCGTGTTTTCTATTCCTGGGGTCCCTCCTATTTTTAAGAATGGCTGGGGGTGGTATAAGATAATTTCCATTTACAACCTATGGCCTTTTGAGCACATCTCTGTTCCCAGGAGACAGATGCCATCTCAGACTTAGGATCTTCATATCTGAGTAACTATACAGAAAACGATAAAGCACAGGACATCCTATTAAAACTGTAAGGGAAGAGCGCAGTTAACACACCACTCTCAGCCCTCAGTCTCTCGATCTCTCCCTCCCTCTCTTTCTCAGAACACTTCTAAGTCCTTTACAATGTTTTACCACCGAGAGAAGGAATTCTCTTATCAAGAGTCTTTGTTAAGAAATGGGCAGAAGACATGAACAGACATTTTTCCAAAGAAGACATCCAAATGGCCAACAGACACATGAAAAAGTGCTCAACATCGCTCGGCATCAGGGAAATCCAAATCAAAACCTCAATGAGATACCACCTCACACCCGTCAGAATGGCTAAAATTAACAAGTCAGGGAACGACAGATGTTGGCGGGGATGTGGAGAAAGGGGAACCCTCCTACACTGTTGGTGGGAATGCAAGCTGGTGCAACCCCTCTGGAAAACAGTATGGAGGTTCCTCAAACAGTTGAAAATAGAGCTACCATACGATCCAGCCATTGCACTACTGGGTATTTACCCCAAAGATACAAATGTAGGGATCCAAAGGGGTACGTGCACCCCAATGTTTATAGCAGCAATGTCCACAATAGCCAAACTGTGGAAAGAGGCAAGATGTCCATCGACAGATGAATGGATAAAGAAGAGGTGGTATATATACACAATGGAATATTATGCAGCCATCAAAAGGAATGAGATCTTGCCATTTGCAACGACGTGGATGGAACTGGAGGGTGTTATGCTTAGTGAAATAAGTCAATCAGAGAAAGACATGTATCATATGACCTCACTGATATGAGGAATTCTTAATCTCAGGAAACAAACTGAGTGTTGCTGGAGTGGTGGGGGGTGGGAGAGATGGGGTGGCTGGGTGATAGACATTGGGTAGGGTATGTGCTATGGTGAGCGCTGTGAACTGTGCAAGACTGTTGAATCACAAATCTGTACTTCTGAAACAAATAATGCAACATATGTTAAGAAAAAAGAAAAAGAAGAAGATAGCAGGAGGGGAAGAATGAAGGGGAGTAAGTCAGAGGGGGAGACGAACCATGAGAGACAATGGACTCTGAAAAACAAACTGAGGGTTCTAGAGGGGAGGAGGGTAGGGGGATGGGTTAGCCTGGTGATGGGCATTAAAGAGGGCACATTCTGCGTGGAGCACTGGGTGTTATGCACAAACAATGAATCATGGAACACTACATCAAAAACTAATGATGTAATATATGGTGATTAACATAACAATAAAAAAGTTAACCACTGAAAAAAAAAGAGTCTTTGTTAGCCACATGATTAAGGCAATTCTGTACATTACTCACTCCTGCTTGGTTATGACGATCAGAATGTGGCATGTGAGGTGGAAGGCAACAGGAGAAAGGATCTTTGGTAAACAAGTCTCTGATAATGCTGAGTAGATACAGCACAGTTACCTTAGAAAATTCTAAAAGTATAATGAGGGCTGTTTTAGAAAACTCATTAGCATAGTGATATTTGAGAGCATTTTCGAATAGTAGAATAAAAGGAGCACAAACCACTCAGCCGCATCTTCTTTTCAGTCTAGATTTTTTTTTTTTAAGATTTTATTTATTTGACAGAGAGAGACACAGTGAGAGAAGGAACACAAGCAGGCCTCCCGCTGAGCAGGGAACCCCACACAGGGCCCAATCCCAGGACCCTGGGATCATGACCCGAGCCAAAGGCAGACGCCTAACATCTGAGCCACCCAGGCACCCCACTCAATGATGATTTTAAGAAACTAGATGTAGCTCATTCAAACTATAAAGAGCGTACTTTTGGGATACAAATACTGTCAATTCCCATTTTATTTATTTATTTAAAGATTTTTATTTATTTGACAGAGACAGAGAGAACACAAGCGGTGGGGGGAACAGGAGAGGGAGAAACAGGCGCCTGGCTGAGCAAGGAGCCCGACGCGGGGCTCAATCCCAGGACCCCAGGATCATGACCTGAGCTGAAGGCAGTCACTTAACCAACTGAGCCACCCAGGTGCCCCTCAATTCCCATTTTAAAAACCGAGATGAACCATTAAAAAGGACTATTTGTATATTAATACCTTAGTCAAACAGCCTATTTAAATTCATAAATTGCAAAAACAAATTATATACTTGATTTAAAACAAAAACAAAAAGTCTTAGGCCCATCTATAAGGAAGCAGAAGCCAAGCATTATCATCATGTTTTAATCTAGAATAATCTCACAAAATCCATCTCTGAATTACCTGCAGGTTTTGAAAGACATGCTCCTAACAGAAAATTATGGCTTTAACACAGGGACAGTGACAGCTACATGTTTAGAAGCCCAACTTCATCTTTACTTCTGTTTGGTGATTTTTCACTTATAAACTCAGTTCCACCAATGAAGACAAATGTACTGGCTCCACTCAAACTGCATGTTAGCCCAGGAATAAGACACATGGTGAAGACTTCCTCATGAGAACAGTGGAAGAAGTGACTTGTCCAAATCACAATGCAAGTCAGCCGCAGAGTAAAACTGACAACTGGGAAACTCTCCTACTGCATGCGCTATTCAGGTCAATGAACCCACTCTCCCCAGATAAGGTGAGAAAGAGCCTGACAATGGGTCTGTGAATGAATGCCATCAGGGTGGTGGGTCGAGAGAGAAGAGCAGTCTCCAACATCTTTTCATTAAAAAGAGAAAATAAAGAGGATGTTAACATGAGAAACAGAATTCTTAACTACAATATTTTTTGTATTACATTACATTAAAGATCTGTTCTCTGGTGTTAAAAATGTACATACAATTCCTTTTTGATTACCCACATGGGAACGGTCTATGTGAATTTAACTCTAAACCCACCCTCCTTTGCAGCTCAGCATCTTCCCACACCTGTATTTCCTCCACCATCTACTAACTTCCCTTCAGATCACCTAAACTAATTTTGCCACTAACTTTTGGTGAAGCAGACCAAGAAAGGAAAACATGCTGCCAAAATTTTTCCCTGCCACAGAATCATTTTTTTTTATGTACTGTCACTTGAATTGTGGAACTGTTCAATGGTGCCCACAATCAAAAATTAACTGTATAATCCTTTCCTTTGTATATTAATATCTTAGTCAAACAGCCTATTTAAATTCATAAATTGCAAAAACCTGTTTTGGCTTTTGCAAAACAGGTTATTTCTAACCCTGGAATTATTATTTTCAAGAACACAAGTTAAAGTAATAGCTTACCTTCCAGGAGGATTTAAAATATATATATATGTGTGTGTGTGTGTGTATATATATATATGTATATTATATATATATTTAAGAATTTTATTTATTTGTCAGAGAGAGAGAGAACACAAGCAGGGGGAGTGGCAGGCAGAGGGAGAGGGAGAAGCAGGCTCCCCACCAAGCAAGGAGCCCACCAGGCAAGACTGATGTGGGGCTTGACCCCAAGACCCTGGGATCATGATCTGAGCCGAAGGCAGACGCTTAACCGACTGAGCCACACAGGCATCTAAAATATATTTTACAGACGTGACAAAGCAATCAATATTTTGATAAATCCTAAATGAAAAGCAAAACACCAACAGTATAAAGAAAAATTATTGTTTTGTTTTAAAAATCAAAGCCATATCCTTAAGTTCTACAATTGGGTTTTCTGGCATAAATAAATGATATCTTAGCAACACAGAGGAAAAACCCGGCTGTTTTCTGTGTATTATTTCAAAAATGATATCCAGAACCTTTATTAAAAAGTCAGTTTTTCAGGCACTCAGACATTGCAGAGAAACAAAAAATAGCTAGCTCCCAAGCCAAAAAACAAGGTATTAAGCTACAAGTCTGCCCTGCCATCATGGGTTGGATGAATCCCAACCTTAGTGAGATACTACTTCCTCATTAAAATGTCAGATTGTTAAAAAAAAAAACAAAAAAAACTCAGATTGTGCCAAAAAACACCACTTCTGTGAGTATGTTTTTAATCCTAATAATATGGCGGAGGGAATATCAACCAGCATGAATTTCCTATTTAGGTAAAACTGTGAATAGATTTTGGCATACGTGCTATACATCAGGAAAAAAATTAAACTAAGTATTTTTCATCTGGAGGTAAGTTTACTACTAGGTTACATAGCATGTAAACGCTAGATACAATGAATTATTAATTCAAATGTCTAAGTTCCACTGATAATTCCATTCAGGCATTTAGTCTCAAAAAAGGCTTCAAAGACAAGCAAGGAACGAAAGGGGCAAGAGTGGGTAGGAGAATGAACACGTTTCAAACACCTTCCTCCCCATTCGCACCTTCAAAACATTTTTTTTAAAGTGGGAAAAGAGCACCAGATTAGGAATTAGGCATGATTTAAACCATTGTTAAAACAAAGGCCAAAACATTCCAAGTTTTGAAATGATACATTAATTTTTTCTTTTTTTTTAAGATTTTATTTATTTATTTGACAGAGAGAGACAAAGCAAGAGAAGGAACACAAGCAGGGGGAGTGGGAGAGGGAAAAGCAGGCTTCCCACGGAGCAGGGAGCCCAATGCGGGGCTTGATCCCAGGACCCTGGGATCATGACCTGAGCCAAAGGCAGACGCTTAACGACTGAGCCACTGAGGCACCCCTGATGCATTAATGTCTAAATGAAGAAATACTTCAGTTATTACCACACAGGCCCTCCAGGATCTAACCTAAGACAGACTACTGGAGCTAAAGGGGACCTTACAAATCATGGAGCTCAACCTCACACAGATAGAAGTCTCCTATAATAGCACCCCTAACAGCTATTTAAACACGGAGAGCTGGCAAGGACTTGGATGCTCAAGCTGTTAGGAAGGTAAATGTCCCTAACTCTACCTCAACTTCTGAGAGCTAGCTGTGCATGATTATACCAAAGACAACACTTACTCTCCTTCCATATAAAATCCCATTACATTTGTTGATCGTGACCTTCCCTCCCACCCCTTTCCGACTTGGTCTTTTCTTCAAGCTAAAAATTTCCATATTTTGCCAAAGTTCAATCCAGTCCTGCTCCAAGAGCTACACCAATGCTCAGTCTCTAGGGTTAGAGTGTATAAGCAGAAACATACACACTATGGTGGACAAGAAAGTGAGTGCATAATTCTTCATTCCCTTTTTTGTAAGGCTCAGCCTGGCTTCCAAAATATCAGGGGAGGAAGCAGGCCCTATTCTCACCTCCCACATTCTGTCCCCAGCACCTTCTTCCCCCATTCAGTAGAATCCATACTGAATTAAGAACACCTTCTTCCTAAGTCTTTCAAGCAGGAGATGGTCTTATTATTTTTTTTTTTACGATTTTATTTATTTGAAAGAGAGAGATGCAGCAAGAGAGGGAACACAAGCAGGGAGAAGCAGGCTTCCCACCAAGCAGGGAGCCTGACGGGAGCCCAACGCGGGGCTCAACCCCAGGACCCTGGGATCATGACCTGAGCCGAAGGCAGACACTTAACAACTTAACAACACCCAGGCGCCCCTGGAGATGGCCTTAAAACCAAGATTTGACACTTCAAAGCCATTAGGATGGCTATTATCCAAAAAATAAATAACAAGTATTGGGGAGAATGCAGAGAAACTGGAAAACTTGTACATTGCTGGTGGGATGTAAAATGGTGCACCTGCTGTGGAAAATGGTATGACAATTCCTAAAAAAATTAAACACAATCTTACCATATAATCCAGCAATTCCACTTCTGAGTATATACCCAGAAGTGAAAGCAGCGACTTGAACAGTTATTTGTATACTCGTGTTCACAGAAGCATTATTCACAATAGCTAAAAGGTGGAGGCTATCCAAGTGTCCATTGAGAGATGAATGCATAAGCCAAGTGTGGTATAACCCTACAACGGAGTATCATCCAGCCTTAAAAAGGAAGGAGATTTTGATACATGCCACAACATGGATGAACCTTGAAGACATTATGTTTAGTGAAATAAGCCAGTCACAAGAGGACAAATAATGTGTAATTCCTATTTCAGGTTCCCAGAATTGTCAAATTTGTAGAGACATGGCACAGAATGGTGGTTGCCAGGGTCCGGGGAAAGGGAGGGGGAATGATCTGGGGAATAAGTGTTTAATGGGTACAGAGTTTCAGTGGGAAAAACTAAAAGGTTCTAGAGATGGATGGTCGTGGCATAAATGTACTTAATACTACAGTCAGTGGTTACATGGCATAAATGTACTTAACACTACAGTCAGTGGTTAAAAATGGCTAAAATGGCAAATTCTATGTTATGTAGTTTACCACAGTAAAAAAAATTTTTTTTTCACTGAAAAACAAAATCCAGGCTTTAAGAATGTCAGATTCCAATCAGGGAAAAGTCTCTCCATGTGCTCGACCTTTACCAAGTTGTCCTTCACCTGCCCTTCACCTGCCCTTCTCCTTCTACAGTGCCGTCCCCTCAAGTCCAAAATAATACTGACAAGGAAAGATGATTTCTCTCTGTTTCTACTTTACTGTAATATGGAAAGTTTTAAAAAATTTCTAATCATGGAAAATTGTTTGATTCATATCCTTTAAATAATATACTCCTCAAATGCTCGATTTGGCAGCACATTTACTAAATAAGAAGAAATACATCTAAAACCAAGAAATATACCCCAAACCATGTCTAAAAATTATACCTGTATTTCTTCTTCTGAAGCTGCCATATCATAGTTTCAGACAGCTCAGTGGCATAAATTTCTTCAAAATGAGGGCTCATGATTTTTGTGACTTCTCCATCTCCAGCACCTAAATCAAGAAGTCTATGGGTTTTCCAGTCTGGATTAATTTTTAGCAGTCTCTGAAACTGATCTGGTGAAAACACAAACATTGAGCCTCTTCCTAGCAACCTGGAAAAAAAGGACAAAAATGGAAGAGTCCATGCAAATTAAGCACCCCCACATACATTCAGAGCAACTACAGTAATTCAGCCCCAACAGCCTCCTGAACCTACAAAATGTTTATTTTATGTGATTATATAGTTAAATTATACATTACCTCTTATATGATTTATAGGGTTAAAAGCAAAATTAGTAAAATAAGAAAATACCTCCAGGTATCATTCGGCTCTGAGATTACAAATAATACTCCATAAAGAGTGGGGAAGGGGGAGGAATAAAAAGTGGAAAGGAAACAGGATGAATGAGAGAGGAAGGGAAGGGAAGAAGAATGAGTAAGAAATTAAAAGGTGAATGTGAAGAATTTACATCAAACTAGGAAGGAGAGATGGATGGAGTAATGTTTTCTGTTACAGGCCAACAGAATCAGACTGTAGCACCAGCCAGTAACACTAAGCAGAAAAATCAAATAGGGAAAAAAAGCTGTTATCAAACTAAACAATGGGTGAGGAAAAAAACAGCTTCACTAGCATAGATTTTTAAGAGACACTGGAGAAAAGCAGAAGAGTGGTCCCTATTTTATCAGTTAATTTGCATTTAAAAAGTAGACTCATACTTCCATCGATTTATATATTACACAATTGTCTGGGTCCTATTATTTCTTAAGATCCTAGAAAACATTCAAAATCACAGTAATGCCTTTAAAAAAAGAGCTGGAGAGGAGTTAAATGGGGATCAGAGAGAACTCTTGGAACAGGAGCTGTGGCTCAAACCAAGTCTCACGGAAGCATCATGCTGGGGAGCAGAATACACTCCCCGCTTAGCTCAAATCCTAGTCTTTCCAGGGCAGGGATTCTTCAACTCCCTTTAAGCGGTAGAACTCTTTCTTGAAATGAAGTGGAGCTCAGAGACGACACAGAAATGGTAAATGGAGAGCTGCTGCAGAAATAAGGTTAAGAGCCTTGGAGAAGCTACCACATCTGGGCCTTTCCCTGCAGCCTGAAGCAGCTCCTGAGGCACTTCCTCTTCAGACCCTGGAACACAGTTTGAAAACCACGGATCTAGGAAATGGCAGGGAAATCTGTACTGTACTGCTACTTTCTGGAAAAAATCATAAGGTACAACATGTCACATGGTGACTGGAAAGATGCGTGCAACCTGGTGCTCCTGGTAAGACCAGTTTTAGAGAAGATTAAAACTGCAGAGTTCATATAACAAACTCCCTCTCTCCCCTTTACCCATTAAGGCCTTAGGAGAGTTTAACCATATCTAATAGTGTGTTTACAGTAAATCTTCTGCCCCACAGAAACGCTAAAAACTAGGGGGCATGGACATCAGAGACTGCTAACTATCCCTTACAGAGAGAAGCGATTTCCTCCAAGACAGTTGTTTTTTTTTAATCTGCTAGTGGAACAATAGGCTGCAGAAAGCAAATCTGCGAAAAGGGACTGAACTGACTGGAAGAGCTTTACAAAGTTTCCCACAGAAGCCAGAGTCCGAGCAGGAAGAGGGTACAGGCCGCATGGCCTGGGGGACACATATTCCCTGAGTTGGTGCTGACTTGCCACAGGATCAAAAGCAAGTTGCAAAAACAGTTATTTGGCTTAAACTTTCCTAGTTATAAAATAACATGCTTCCCTAGCCAACTTCTTGGGATGTAGGGAACCTGGACGTGATAATCCTAAAACTCTAGAGCTAGAGGTCATCTGAGGTCAGAGCTCAGGAGGTCATCTGACTTATCTACATTTAAAAGGCACCAAAGAGAGAAACACTGTCCTATTTTCAAAGATCCTGAGCAAAAGAGGCTCCACAAAAAGATTCAAACTGTCGAATCAAAATTCAAGCCCAGTGTTTCTCAACCAGGACCAACTCTGCCTTCTAGGGGGCAGTGGGAGAAGGTGGGGGAGTCTGGGGTAGCAGGTGGGAGCAGGTGGGGAAGTCTGGGATAGTCCCAATGGCTTGGGAATGCTGTCAGTGAGGGAGGCCAGAAAAGCTAGATCTCCTGATACATGTGGGTCAGTCCCACACAATAAGTATCCCACCTAAAATACCAAGACACTCACCTAGCTCAATACAAAGTTTCCAGCAAACACATACCATGCAGAGGTATGGCTCCCTAATTTGTCTTTAACTTCCAAAGTTAGTGATGTTCATGGGGGGGGGGGCGGGGCTGTTAGTGTTTAATAACCAACCTAGGTTCTCTGGCCACAATCTAAGTTCTCTCTAGATGTAGAATCTATAGAGAAGGTGTGCCTCCTTATCAATATTTTCCTTATAATATAAACTCTGAAAACAGCTATCAAGTCTATCCTGACTTGGCCTTCCCCTTGATGATATAAAGGAAGACTGATAAGTATCTTCTTAATTCAAGAAAGTACCATACAGTACAGGATATCTCAGAGATATTGCAAGTCCACTTCCAGACCACTTCAATAAAGGAAATATCACAATAAAGCAAGTCAAATAAATTGTCTGGTTTCCCAGTGCATATGCAAGTTACATTTACATGATACTGTGGTCTATGAAGTATGCAACTGCATTATGTCTAAAAAAAAAAGTACATACCTTAGTTAAAAAATACTTTATTGCTAAAAAAAAAAAAATGCTAGCCATCAGCTGAGTTTTCACCAAGCCATAATCACTGATCAGAGATTATCATAATATAGTAATGGAAAACTTTTGAATATTGTGAGAATCACCAAAATATGACACTCAGATGCAGAATGAGCAAATGCTACTAGAAAAATGGCACTGATAGACTTGTGTGATGCATGGTTATCCCAAGGTTCCAATTAAATAATAAAAAAAATGCAGTATCTGTGAAGTGCAATTAAGAGAAGTGCAATAAAATGAGGTATGCCTGTAATTATTTCAGAAAGAGATGGGCATTCATGGTAATAATCTATCATGGATGGAAAGTACCAACAGGCTCAAAATTAAGCTTTCAGGTGAGATAGGACCCAGGACAAGACATGTTTTGGGAGAGTGGGAGGTGAGAGCCATAGATAAGGAAACCCAAAGGGATTGATTAAATGTGTTGCCTCTCTTTGACCAAACTGTGAAATTCCAAATCAGGGAATTTTAACCAGGATCCAATGGGGTGGAAGTTGGGGGTAGGGGTAGGAGTGAAGGTGAGAGGTGGTTCAGAGTTTGAAATCTCCCAAAATTCTATGTGAAATGTTGAATGTAAATACTATTTGAAGAGAGGACTCCTACCTTTTATCATTTTTAAAGAGGTGAAGGACCCCATAAAGGATAAGAATTACTGCTACAGTGACTTGTCCCCCTTCCAAAGAAAAATAATACAGTACAGAACAGACCCTCAGAGCAGCCAATTTTAGAAACAAAATGTCAGACCAAGTTGTATCAACTCAACTACCTACACAAAAATAACAACTGTTTCCTGAAGCAAACAAGGCAACTTCATATAAACAATGAAGAAAATCAAGGAAGAAATCTTGAGAAATGGCTGGTGGTGCCTAAAAACATATTTAAGGACCAGATGATAGACTGGGGATCCAGACATTCAGGAGAAACTGGCTCCAAACCTCAAGGGGAAAAAAAAGTAGGCCCAACCAGTGGCTTTAAGCAGTCCAACAAGGCTTCGTAAACCCTGAACCCTACTGATTTTCTCCTTGGCATTCTAGATTCTTGGGCCTTGGGGATGTTTGAAAATTTGGCCAAGGAAAGATAAAAAATATTCCTGAAGTTTCTTCCATGGATTTATATGCGAGAATCACTCTGGAGATAGGTACTTCCACAGTAAGCTTAAAAGATTCTGGTGAGCCTAGACATTATGTAAGAACAGATTTTGTAAACTTCACTTGAAATAAACCATCACATGTTGTTGTGTTGATTAATTAAATCCCCCCAAAAAACCTGCTCCTAGGAAGTGTGCTTAAGGCAAAGATTTTACTCTTCAGTTTATGTTAAGGACTTAGTTCTTGCTACTCTCTACCACAGGGAACTAGCAGCATTATGGGCATCACTTGGGAGTTCGTTAAAAATGCAGAATCTCAGGCCCTATACCTACTGACTCACAATCTCTATTTTAACCAGATCTCCAGGTTGGTTCTTGTACACATCAAAGCTGAGAAGCACTGCTCCAAGGAGAACTTCCACTGTAGAAATACAGACTAACGAGGTTCTTTATCAAGTTGTGGTGAATTTAAAAAGCATAACTGCAGAAGGCTGAAGATACTGGACCCACTGCAAGGATTCTGACTAGTAGAAGTGTCATAGCTGAGGTAGTCAACACCTTCAACAAAATAACTTTTCTCTTTCATTTTCTCTTTATAAATCTAAGGATAAGGAAAAAGTACGTAAGATTCACTTACCCATTGATAGATGTTCTAGACATAAACAGGCTAAAAACGGATGACACGAAAGAGTGATATAATTGGATAAATAGCCAGCCCGATTTCTCAATGCTGTTATTTAAGAAGATCTGCGTTCCTTGGTCAAGGTAGCTCTGAACAAAGACAGCCTGGAGTGATTCGCATAATTTCTCTCTGTTGCACACATACCACTAAAAAAGAAGAAGAAAAAGTGAAAACACACAACTAAAGTGTCATCTAAGAAGTCCAAAAACAAAAGCCAGAGGACTAAATCAAATCTAGTATTTCCAAATATTATAATCTCATGGCACTTGGCACTTTGAGGATAATCATCTCTTATACTCAGATGACCTATAAAGCGTAAAATACTTCTACATACATAATTTCTCACTTAATTCTCATTCGGGGTCTTGCGGGGGAGTGTGGGAAGGTTGAACAGGTTTCTGAGTCATGCAGCTTTAGTAGGTTAGTAGGAGGCAGAGCCAGGCCATAGTCCAGGTGTTCTGAGTCCTGGCCTAATATTTCAGTCTCTATACCCCCAGTACCCTGAGATCTAGGAAAGTTCTGTTGGCCTCTCCTTCACTGAAAATCAACATCAGAAGGCAAAAACTAGCATTATTAACTTTGTTTTTAGATAAGGAAACAGTCACATAATGCAGTGATTTAATTCAAAACCACCAAACAAATCAATGGCAGAGTAAGCAGCAGAAGTTAACACTCCGGTGACCAGATTAATCTGCCTTTCTTCTTATAGGCTATGTAGAGGCCTTTAGAAATAGCGAGGTCGGGCGCCTGGGTGGCTCAGTTGGTTAAGCGACTGCCTCTGGCTCAGGTCATGATCCTGGAGTCCCGGGATCGAGTCCCACAACGGGCTCCTGCTCGGCGGGCAGTCTGCTTCTCCCTCTGACCCTCCCCCCTCTCATGTGCTCTCTCTCATTCTCTCTTTCAAATAAATAAATAAAATCTTTAAAAAAAATAGAAATAGCGAGGTCATATGACATTCTCACAGACAGGGGCAATATGTGCTTGAGAAAGATTAAAAAGTTACTTAAGGTCACACTGCAACAACAAGAAGACAAAGTGATTACATGCTGGAGAACCAGGTATCTAGGAACAGGCTCTAACCAGAACACACTTCTGAGAACAAAATTCAAGAACCTCAACCGTGGATAAAATGTAATCCTCCACAATAAATGTTTTCCATTTTCATTTAGAGTTAGCATACCAGGGAAGGGGGGAGGTAGACTGTAGGGTAGGCCAGCTTTAGAGTCAGCTCCACGGTCAAGTCCCGGCTCTGCCATTCCTGTGTAAACTCAGACAAGTCACTTAATCTCTGAGCCTCGTTCATTCATCTGTAGACTAGAGATGTCACTGGTATCTATCTATCCTAGTAGGGTATTGAGAGGATTAAACAAGATAATGCAGCCAAATCCTCAATATAGTACCAGACACACATAAGAATCCTATAATAACAGCAATGAGATTCCTCTAACATGGCCTGATAAATAAGAGTAGGCCATTAATTACAATGATGAAACTGTAGGGTTTCATTAATTCATTATTCCATCCATTCATATGAAATGAATTCATAATTCATTAATCCATTATCTGCTAAGAAACAATCAATTTTTCCCAGTAAACAGTCTATTGGCCAAAAGTAATTTGCTTCCCCCTCACAAATATGACCATTTATCAGCAGGTGTCCCGTAACTGCTTACACAACTGGTGGACCAATTTTACAGTCAGCCAAAGCTTGCTAAATGTTGAATGAAATCCTGGGTAACATTCCTGACACTAACATTGAAAGGAACCAGGTAGAAACTAATACAAACAAGCAAACAGGCACATTAAAATCACAAAGATTAACTCATCTTTTTTACAAACCCTATATCCAAACTAGATACCAAATCTCCCAGCTGTTGACTGATTTGTGTTAATTCACCATTTAAACACTGTTACCAAAACTGCTTGGACTTGAAAACAATTTTCATTTTTTCTACTCTATATGGTAAGCTCTGAAGCTTCTTATATTTACTGTCTACACTTTTTTCCTTGGTCTGAAAATGTTCTTGCTTAATCATTAACTAACTCTTAATATTCACTGTGCCTGAAGTTATGCCCCAGTGCAGGTCATAAACCATTTTTTATTATACTCATGACCTTCTGGTGCACATTCTTAACTCTGTAATACTGAGGCCACTCTGACTTTTATTTATTTTTTATTCTCTGAAATGACTAATCAAGATGAAAGCCATCACCTTGGTAGTAGGCAATCAGGTACATTCTATTAACGCAGACAAGAAGCCATTCAAGTGAAACAGAGGAGCTAAGAATTCCCTTGGCATCCACTTGTAAATGGACAACTGGAACAACAATGGACTCTGACTTCCAGAACTAAGCAAGACTTGGCATCATTAACTGCAAATATTGCTTTCAAGTACCAAGAGGAAAACTCAAGTTCTTAACAGCATTTCTCTCAATTTGTTGACATTAACACATGTGGTTGAACCTTTATAGCCAAACAAGGTTTCAGAAAAGAAACTGCTGGGGCGCCTGGGTGGCTCAGTCAGTTAAGTACCTGCCAGAGGCTCAGGTCATGATCCCAGCGTCCTGGGATCGAGCCCCGTGTCGGGCTCCCTGCTCAGCGGGGAGCCTGCTTTTCCTCCCTGCTCCTGCTCTCCCTCACTCTCTCTCTCTCTCTCAAATAAATAAAATCTTAAAAAAAGAAAAGAAACTGCTTACTGAACAGAATGTGCTACAGAATAAAAGGAGTAAAGCCCTCCTCCTTAAAGATAAAGGTTGAAATCCGTGTTCCTCCTGACCATCTGCAGGATACAAAAGTCAACTCCAAAAGCAGCATTATTCGTAATTACCAAAAAGTGGAAACAACCCAAATACCCATCAACTGATGGATAAACAAGGTATGACTGATCCATACAACAGAATAGGGATTATTCAACCATAAAAAGCAGTGAAGTACTGATTAATGTGACAACATAGATGAACTCTGAAAACATTATGCTAAGGGAAAGAAGCCAGTCACAAACGGCCACAAATAATACGATTTCACTCTCATAAAGTGTCCAATAGGTAGATCCAGAGACAGGAAGTAGATTGTAGTTGGCAAGAGGGAGTGTCTACTAATGGATACGGGGTTTCTCTCTGGAGTGAAAAAAATGCTCTGAAATTAGAGTGGTGATGGCTGCACAACTCTGTGAAAACACTAAACACCCCCGAGCTGTGCATTTTAAAAGGATGAATTTTATGGTATGTGAATTATATCTCAATAAAGGTGTTTTTTTTACATACACATACTTCTGGCATTTTTATCTTCCAGAAATTAAAAGTGGTTTGAAAATTTAAGTGACCCGGCAAACCTCTTTAAAAATGCAAATTTTTAAATGCAAATCTGATCACATCACAACCCTGCTTCACATAAGTCTAAAGTTAATACCCAAAATGCTCAATATGGCTTCCCAGGCCCTACACAGTTTGTCCATTTTGTGTCCACAGCCTTACCTCCTAACACTGTCTGCCACCCATAACCCCTGGTCATTTGCTATGTCACAACACTGCACCCCTCTCTTTTTCTGGAAGGCTCCTTTCTCATGGCTGTCTCACATGGTGTTTGCTTTGTCCCCTGCATTTCCCGCATCACCACAACCCACTTTCTCTTCACCTGGTTAATTCGACCTAAGCCTAAATATTTCTTCAAGTATGTTTGCCTTGAACTTGCAGACTAGGCAGGGTTTCCCCCCCCCATTCGAATACCCTCTCCTATATACCATATATCTCCTCAGCAACATTTATGACCACTGAATTGAATAACTGTACATAATTGTATTTTCAGTGTCTATCCTCCCAGGGAGACAAAGTTTCATAAAGGTAGGGACAATGACTGACTTCAGTGCCTGGCACAGATACAATGAACAATAAATGTTCGTCAAATCAATCATTGTTAAAATCACAGGCAGTCTAAGGGCGTGGCTCAGTGGGTTAAGTGTCTAACTCTCGATTTTGGCTCAGGCCATGATCTCAGGGTCCTGAGATGGAACGCTGGTTGGGCTCCGTGCTCAGCAGGGAGTCCGCTTCTCTCTCTCCCTCTCCCTCCGCCCCTCCGCCCCTCCCCCTGCTCACGCGCACTCTCTCGCTCTCTAAACAAATAAATAAATCTTAAAAAAAAAAATCACAGGCAGCCTCACAGAATTTGGAGGTTCTAGCAAAATCCTAGAGGGGATATAAGGACAGCCACAGAGATAGCTGTCACTGGGTTTCTGTCATTTTCTAAAACTTCAAGGTTTTTGAAAGGTCTTGCTTTTCCTAAGTTATTTTATTATTTTACTTTATTTAAGTAATCTCTACACCCAGTGTGGGGCTTGAACTCATGATCCCAAGATCAAGAGTCATATGCTCCACTGACTGAGCCAGCCAGGTGCCCCTGAAAGGCCTTGCTTAAACCCACTTCTGCAAACAGTGGTTAAACCTACCCACTCACCACAAAATTGCATCATCCCAAGCAAGCAACAAAGGACAACACTGACTGAACACCTACCTTGTGCCAGGCACCTGGCCAAGTGCTTCACATTTCATTTACCACCTCACAACTTCTGGATAAACGGGAAGCCTGGGGTTTCTAAGCACTTCCAGCTGATTCAGGTTCCTATTCTAGGTGCGTGTTGTTTTATAAAAGTTTCCTTCAAAGAAGCTTCTCTTTAGTCTACCCAGTGTGTCTGAGATTCATTTTCAGAAAAGAAAGCAGGACCATTCTGTCTAACTAAACTGGACTGGGTGTGTTTAGAGAAAAGATAATCTGATCTAGATAGCAACTAAATTACAGGGTTTCTCAGCCTCAGCATTACTGACATTTGGGACCAGATAATCCTTTTGTTACAGCATCTGTCCAATGCATGATAGGATATTTAGCAGCATTCCTAGCCTCTACCCATCAGATGCCAGGTGCACTCCCCACCAGTCATGACAACCGAAAACATCCTAGACACTGCCAAACGTCCATCCCCTGGGAGGCAAAATCACTACTGCTTGAGAATGACTACATGGGCCAACCCAGAAAATTTCATTAGTGTTTCCTAATTATCACAGCTTAACAGTGATCCAGGGAAAATAAAGATGAACTAGCCTCCAGGAACTTACACTCCAGAGGAGAAAAAAATCAGAAACCAAGGGAACCGAG